ACCGGTACTTCGGGAAAGCTTTGATAGTTATCGTATTTATTTCGTTAAGTTTCTTGTTAAAAGTTATGTCCAACCCCGTTATTTTAATATTTGATATTTAAATTATAAGTTTTGATAGTTCAGTAGTCTGACCTTTCAATTGAACACAGTCACTCACCATATTTCAGAAATATTATTATAGGAAATGACTCTGAAAATGGTGACAATACTGAGAAATCAGAATATGTGCTGAATTCAAGTATGAAGTTGTAACTGCCAATAAAAAAATGATTTATTTCAGTTACTTCTATATTGCTAGTTGTCTCAAAATAGAAGCTGTTAGATAAATTAGAATCTTCTTGATTGAGAAAGTCTTTAAGTGTTATTTCAACTAAGAAAAGTTGGTGTTCAACTATATGTTGATTTTGATAAATTAGGATATTTAATAATCGAATTACTTGTCTTCATAATTCTTCTCTTTCAAGAGTGTTAAGATCTGCTATAATAATGTTTTCGAATAATTGTTCAGTGATGAAAGATTCAAATATTGCATCTCATTCTTGGATCCAGTTAGAAAATTGGCTAGAGTTTCAGTTACTGTATCAGAAAGTGAAAAGCAGATGTGATGATAATATTACTGAGTTATTCAAAGTGTTGTTTCTCAGTGTTGATTTTCCAGGTGAGTGTTAAGATGTGAGGTAGTAGATTCTCCAATAAAATTATAATAATCATTCATAAGGTGATTTTAATTAAGAGTTGGAATATAAATATTCACAAAGGGATTGTAAAAAGAGGATTTGTTTTTGGTAATTGGTTTTTAAATAAGGTAAGAAGATTATTTAAATGATAATAAAAAAAAAAGAGGTTTGATATTTGAGGAATTCACAGAGAAGATACTAAAATATGCTATAGTTACTTTAAATAAAGAGTTTCTTTACTATTAGTAAAAGAGTCATATAAGTTGGGAGAGAGAAATAGACTAATAAAATTGATCAGTGCAAAAATAAGTATCTAAGCCTGTGCCAATTTTGACAAAAATTGTTAAATAATTTTATCAAAGATGAAAAGAGAGGTTGGAAGAGAGTGTTCAAAGAGGTAATTGATAAAAAGGAGTTGTTAACTAAAAAAAAGAATATTGATATTTTTATACTTGTAATCGTACATTCTAGTACTTTCAATACCAAAGAAAATAAATAACTAAAAGAAATATCACTTATTTAGAGTTACTATGCACAACTATATAAATCAATATTACTTATTTAAAGTTGTGATGCACAATTATACAAATCAATATCATTTATTTAAAGTTGTGGTATACAACTATACCAAAAAATAATACTATAGCAAATCAATATACTTATTCAAAAATACTTAATCATCTTTTCCAAATTCAAAGATAAAAGTAATAATTGAAAGTTCAATTCTACACAAATTAATATTTAATTTCTTAATTTCACTCAAGATTTACAAAAGCGACTTGAATTACAAGATTTGAAGTTCAATCAACAAATTATTTTTGCCAAACAACTTGTTTCAACAGAAGAAGATACAAGGATAAATATTAATTTTATAACAATAAGGCAGTCATTAACTTATTGTAGCAAGATTAAAATTTATTAATTTGTTTAAGCATTGAAATATGAGATTGATACATGGGAGAGCACTCCTATTTATACAAAATTTGTCAATATATTTTAGTTCTATTTTCGTTATAAAATTATAAAAAGATATATATAAAAGATAAAAAAGGTAAATAGAAAAAGATAGAAAAGATAAAAAGTAAGGGTAATAAAGGCAGGAAAGATAAATAACAAAGATAGAAAAGGTAGAAAAGACAAATAACAAAGATAGAAAAAGTAGAAAAGATAAATAATAAAGATAGAAAAGGTAAAAAAGATAAATAATGAAGGTAGAAAAGATAGAAAAGATAAAACAAATATCAAAATCCAAGTACTAATAAAAAATATCAAAAAAACAATTTTATATATAATCTTATTCTCAACTCTAATCCTAATCCTAATTCAAATAATAAAATAATCTTTAATGTCAATTTTTCATGATTATGTGAACTTGGATTTTGAAGATCATTTACATGTGATTTACATGTGATTAATTATTCATTATTATAATTTGCATGATCTGCATAATTCAATAACGAGGGTTGACTAATTAAATTTAAACTAAAATTATCGATTTATATCAATTTGAGTCAAAATTATGGATCACAATCATTTATGATAAATGAAGTGATAAATTTTCTCAGGTTAATGATGAAAACAAGTTCAAACTTCTGTTGTCATGAATCAGCACAAGGTGTAAATACATTTTTAGCAATATAGTCGAAGTAAATTGAAGATTTTTTTTCATATGTGTACTTAGAATGAATGCAGATTCAGCAACAAATTCATGTTTTACATTAATAAATATATTTGTATTATTGGAATAATCCCAAAAAGACGAATTAATTTCGTCTTTCTATCTTTCTCTTTGACTCATTCTACCTCACCACAACATATATCACTCACACTTCCAAACCTGTTTCTTCTATTATGTCGATACTACTTTGGTATCACCACCACCACCACCACTTTCCAATAGCTTTTTTTCTTTACCGCCCATACTATAATATCAATAAAAAATAAATCACTAGTTCAATTTGTTAACAATAGTTATTATTCCCAATATAATACTCACTGAAAATAATGTATATATCGAGCTGCTTGTACTATCTGTGCAGATTCATTCGTGAAATGACATGCAAATAAAAGTCGGTTCATTGGTTTTACCTGTAAAGAAAATCTCATAAACGCCGCTGAATATACCATCATTGCTGTTGAAAAGTATTTTATCGATTGTTAATGAATAACAGAGAAAAGTTGTTAGATTTGTTTTATATATTAGTATACCTGGTGTCATTTTAGGTGATATAAATTCAGGGTCTTTTTTAAAGTCCATAATGGCAGCAATTGGTAGTCCCCAATTAGCAACTAATAGTATATTACAAAGTTTTGTTTTAGTAAAAAAGTAGTTTTATTTAATTTTAATGAAAGATCATACATTATCAGATTTTTTACCTGGACCCCAAAAATGCTTATTTTATCATAAAAAAATGCAAAGAATTAAATTAGATACATTTCTTTAATTACAAGATTTATATGACAATTATAACATTATACCAACCGTACTAATAAATAACAAAAACTTGGTCAAATTATAAAAAAGAAATTAAACTAAACATTCTGAAGTTGAAAAACGACATTACCTCATTAAATAGCTTTTGAACTCTGGACTTGTAATCTGTTGAGCTAATCGAGAACTCCAGGATGCTGACATACTTAATAATTAATTACACTGTCGAAGAATTGGAAAAATTGAAACAAATTAGGTAGATAAACCCTTGACTTACCTTATTTGAAAGAGAACGATACAATCTATCGTCACGTTGCCTGATAATCATTATAAATGTTTTGTTGCATTATCGTTATCGAAAATAATGTCTGCCATTAAAGCACCTTTTCACACTCGAGACGTCCAAATTGACGAAGACGTGCAATTCGAGGCACTGATAACCAACTCAACCTTACTGCGAGGAGTGTCTGAGGCTGGTTATGAACGTCCCTCTCCTATACAATTAAAAGCAATTCCACCAGGTCTCAAGAAAAATACACAATAATTTAACAGTCAAAGAAGTTTTTAAACTCATTTCTCGGAAATTTACTGTACAGGAAAACTTGGCTTAGATGTTATTGCACAGGCAAAATCTGGAACCGGGAAAACCATTGTTTTTAGTATAGTTGCCTTGGAAACTGTCAATTTGAATGTTAACAAGCCACAAGTAAGTTTGTTGAAAACGAATATGCGTCTTCATAGTTTGTTTGAATTTAACGTTTTAGTTTCTATTAGGTATTAATTCTCTCGCCAACTCGTGAATTAGCTATACAGACTCATAAAGTTATTCTCTCTATTGGACGTCATATGCTTGGGTTAAATGCTCATGTCTTTATTGGAGGTATGCCAGTTGAAAGTGACTGGCCTAAGTTGCGTAAATGTCATATCGTTATCGGATCTCCTGGTAATTCTTTCAATTTATTTATTTTTATTAGTTAGAGTCGATCTATTATTAACTTTTAAATTTTTAAATAAAGGTCGTGTTGAACTTCTCTTAAATCAAAATAAACTGAATGCCAAAGAAATAAAATTACTGGTATTAGACGAAGCTGATAAATTAATGGAGAAAAGTTTTCGTCCTCAAATGCAGTAAGTGAAATTTGTTGTGATTCTAATAACTTTCCACTTAATCATTTGGATTTTTACTTGAAGGAGATTATGTAACAAACTAAACGAGAAAAAACAAGTAATGGCATTTTCTGCCACATATGACAAACATTTGTTGAATACCCTGTATCGTAATTATATGAAAAATCCGCATCAAGTGATGCTCACCGAATCAAGACCTACGTTAGAAGGCAAGTGACATTCGAATTTGTTATTAATTGGCGCTAATCCACCGATATTGATATATTTTTGTTTAGGAGTAATGCAATATTACCAGATGATCAGGGTGAGTGATCATGATAACGTCTTAGATAAGTATAAATTCTATGAAGAAAAGTTCAAGAGTTTAGCTGCACTTCTCGGGGGAGTTCCTTTTTATCAATGCATTGTATTTTTGAATCACCGTGGCAGGTACATCAATTCAATTTGATTTAATATAATTCTGTATGAGAAGAAGATATTATTTTTTTATTATCTCTCTTATCAATAGGGCAGCAGATCTTGCTGATTACCTTACGAAACAAGGCTGGATGTCAATGAACATTTCAGGTAAAATTATAGAATGTTTATGATAGTTTTATTTTATTAATTTTTCAAATTGTCTCCCAAGGTGGTCTTGACCAAAAAACACGTCTTACCACGATGAATAAAGTACGCAATTTTCAACTACGCGTTTTAATTTGCAGTGATTTGGTAAGAAGCTTTAATTAGTGGTGAATTGGAAATAATAATTAATGTCTAAAAAAAATTTTAATTTTGTTATTAGATTGCTCGGGGAATAGACATTGATCGAGTGGATCTGGTAGTGAATCTAGATATACCCAAAGATCCCGAGACCTACCTCCATCGTGTTGGCCGAACAGGGCGATATGGTATATTTTCAAACTTATGATATTTTTAATGTTTGGATTTAATTTAATTCATGAAATCAATAAAATAGGTACTCATGGTTTGGCTATAAGTTTTGTGGACGAGAAAGAAATGGGGTTTATTAATATTCTACAAAAAGAATATTCTGTTGAAGTGAAACCACTTCCAGGTAAAGATCTTATTTATATAGTAAGACTGCAAATTAGTATTTAATCTTTTTTCATCTTAATTCGATTATATTAGAGGAATTATCCAACGAACATCATCAGAGACCTTTGATAACTATTAAAGATCAAAGGGCTTTTGAAAGGCTAGAAGCTATTCGTAATAAAGTTCAAGTATGCGATGGAATTTTTCTAATTATTAATTAATTTTATTTACCCTTTCTGGACACATAAACTCTTTCTGGTTAATTTATACAAAAGATGAAAGGCGAGGAAATTCCCGTTATTTTCACAGACGAAAAGGTCTCTGGGCGAGAAGTAGAATCAAATGGCGAAAACAAAGGATTCAAAGAAAATGAATATCTTGGAAACAACCTACAATTTCAAACAGATTATAATTACAATAATCATAATTATCATGATGATGCGGGTAATTACTGGATATGGGATGGGTATCAATGGATTCTTCAATATCCAAATTATTATAATTACAATAATGATTATATTTATGATATCATTCCGAAAAAACTGGGAGATGTGAATTCTTTTGATTTTTTGCCTCCAGATTTGCCATTTTGATTTTTCAGAAACGCATCAAGTTTAGAAGAATGTAAGTGGATGTATATAACCCATTATTCAGATCAAGAAGAAAATGCCGCGTTATCGTTAGATTAGCGAGGAAGTTTACGGCATAAAAGGTATGTATAATCAAAAGCGAAAAATTAAGTTTGATCTAATTAGACAATATATATTCTTGGCCTTTTAGTTAAAGGATCATATTCCAATAAAGATCATTTCGATATTTTAAGTAATAAATCAAGCAATCAAGTAATGCATAAAACCGTCACTCATCTTAAATTGGGAATCTATCGTTATACAATAGTACAATATGATAGCTTATGAGTCATCAAATGCCTATCGTTATAAATTTTGAGTGATTATTCACTCACGCGAAGTTTTTCTCCATTTGAAATACTAATTAAAGAAAATGAAGTTTGCTAAACAACTGGCTCTTCGTATTATTCCCACCTGGTCTGACTACTACCTTGATTACCGTACTCTAAAGAAATATCTAAAAGAGACAGCTTCGAAATATGAAGGTCAGTAATTAAAATATAAGATGTTATTAACGCACTAAATTCCGTGAAATGTATCTACTTATGCTCATCCTCTTTACTAGCGAATGGATGCGATCCTCTATTTTTGAAAGGTTTGGTTGAAGATTTTCGTCAAATGTTAGTTGTAGAACTGGAAAAAGTTAATACGCGTTATGTGACTGTCGAAGAGGAGTCTGGTTTTACTTTGGACAAGTTGAATGGAAAGGTTCGTTTTATATTTTTACAGAATAAGGGCATATGATAACTTTTTTTATGTAACCAATACTTAAGCATTTGCTTTGAGATTTTTATTTCGTCTTTGTTTTTGTATATCAATTAATTATTATTATTACAGTGGAATAAAGGAATGTCGGACGAAGAATATGAAATTTGGTAATTCAATAATTCGTACTAGTTTTCATACTACTCAGTTGTATTTTTTGCTTTAATACAATAAAATTGAAATTAATTCAGGGGAAATAATATGCACAAACTTATATCGACTCTAGAATCGCTAAAAGGTAATTACCTAAGGATATAATGATTTATTTGCTTATCAATAACTCTTACCTTTACATCATCACTGTGATAGAGTTTACTCAAACCAACATCACCGGTTTCCAAAAGATCCTCAAGAAATTCGACAAATATTTTTACAACACATCGACCACCGAAGAATTGAAACAACTCTCTACAAATATTATCTCGAGCAATCAGGTATTAGAAAATTCCAAAACTGCTCAGGAACTTCACAGGCCACAGTCAAGACATGGAAAGTTTCTCTTGCCAGAGCCACAGCATTCTCTCATAAATAAAGCTGTAGCCCCTTCAAGAACTTCTACCATGTCACCTAGTAATAACCTTAATCGTTACACTTTTACTCCTATTGGGAAAGAATTATGGAGTTTAGTGACATCTTACAAGTTTGTGGTTAGTGAAAGTGATGAAACTTTGTTATCTAAGGCTAGACAGGTGAGCAAAAAATTCTTGTTCTTTGGGTGTATTTTCATACACTGAATATTAAATCACAAAAATTTAATAACCAACATAATGATGATAATGAAAATGATTGAACTGATTGAACTCAGATCTGGCGAAAACGAGTTCCTTTATCACCGGCTGCTTCGCCTTTATCTCAAGCTCTTTCTTATCTCTCGGTCGAAGAAACCTCAATTCCTACTGTTACGAGTTTAGATTTGGAAACTCTCCCGCATGGACAAGTATCCTGCTTATGGGTTGTATTGGCAGAAGACGGAATGAGCTTACCAATCAAAGTGCCCGTAATGGTAGCAAAGGTATGCACATAATTCTATTTCAAAGAATAAGAGAGAGTTTAGAAGATGTTGAAATTTTGGATTTTACCTTTATCCAAAATATGGTATTGACACAGCAAGGCTTTTAATATGCGTTCTTGATTCTATCTTGCAAAGGGTGTTAAATTTGGTCCGATTGTTGGTCTAGTAAGTAGTATTTGTATACAAGTATTTTTAATCGCAATGTCAAGTAAAAAAAAAATCAATAACCAATTGTGTTCAATCAATCTGAAATTCAAAAGACTGCAGCCTTACATGGAAACGAGCTAAACGGCATCCCACTAATTCACCGTCTAATCTCACAAGAGCTCAATCCCGGAAACTTGCATGGCATAGTCGTCGCATGTCCCGTAACAAATGTACCCGGCTACCTGGCTGGCCTCCGCACATTCAGCGACGGGACAGATCTAAACCGCTTGATGCCCGGCAAACAAAACGGAACAACCTCACAAACTTACGCGTACAATCTTATTGATCGGATCGTGAGCAAATTTACACATCTGTTGGATTTGCACACCGCATCCAAAGGCCGTGCTAATTCGTTGTATGTGAGAGCTAATATGACAAATTCACGAACACAGAGAATGGCAAGATTGCAAAATCCACATGTGAGAATTGTTTTTTGCTGTTGTTTATAATAAAGGAGATATCATATAAGGTGTGTATATATATGATTTGTCGAAATTAATATAATAATTTCTCAAAGATTATTGTACATAATACTTCTCCTGATGGATCATTACGTGGGGCTGCGATGGAACGTGGCATCCCGGCCATTACCGGTAATAATTAATTATTTTGCAAAATACACTGTATTATCACTTTCACGCAAGCTGCAATTATCTAATATACTTATTGATTAAAAATATATAATTAGTTGAAATTGGTGACCCATCCACTTTTCAGAAACGATTTGTGAAACATGCACTTCAAGGTGTCACCAATATTCTATTTAATCTCAAAATGATTCCTGGTGAGAATTTATTGCCAGAAGATGATCCGGTGATTTGTTCAAAAAGTGTAAGCTATATAAAAATTTTTCCTAGCGGACATCATTAATATTGACTACATGATATTGAATGAATAATCAATCCTCTATTCTTTTTGATAAATAAACAGTACTGGATATTTTGCAAACGCGGCGGTATTCTGAATGGCACGTATAAATTAAATTTTATTTTTTCTTTATAAAATTCCATCTCCTTATGTAAACCAATTTTTATACCATTTCTTTCCTTAGTCCTTCCAGATGTAAACACCTGGGTGAAAAAGAACGAGCCAATCGCCACACTGCATTCCGTGTTTGGTAATCTGGTAGAAACCTATTTCGCACCCGAAGATGGAATTGTGATTGGCAAAGAAATGGATCCAGTGTGTCAGTCGGGACAGCGGATATTACATTTGGGAGTCGTGATGGATAAATTTGAAGCGCAAGTTGATGATGGTCATTTGTGAGAGTGTAATTGTTTCTTCGAAGGCATTAATTAATTGTTATTGGGAATGGATAGAGGGACAACGAGCTTTTTACTTATTTAACATATTTATTTATAACAACGATAATGCTCAAGTGCTCAAGTAACTAGATCAAGATATTTATGTACGCGACCAATCATCGATATAGAAAAGTCCAATCAGTATTAGCCACGTGATTAAACATAAAAAATTTCACCTGCGAATTTTGATTAAATTTCGCTTTCTGCAAATCACAATGACCGCAAAAAATCCGCGCACAGGCAGCTTTCGTATACTAACCATAGTAATAAAATTAGGCACCTCTTCGATATGCGAAGAAGAGTCACATTTACCCTTACTCTCAAACATATCCCACCTAATCGAGACAATAGTGAAACTGCGAAGACTAGGACACCGAGTTGTGTTAGTGACAAGTGGGGCGATTGGTGTTGGTTTAAGACGACTTGAAATGGAAAAAAAGCCAAAGAAGTTGGCAACTATACAGGTTTGAGTGGTTTTGTTACAATAAATTGAATAAGTAAAAAATAAACTCATTCTACTCCATTTGATCCACCTTTTTTTTGAAAGGCAGTTGCAGCCGTCGGACAAGGCAGATTAATGCGAATGTACGATGATTTATTCAGTCAGCTTAATCAGCCTATCGCGCAGATTCTCTTGACGCGTAATGACATTGCTGATGTAAATAATATTCAAAAAAATCGTGAGCGCAAAAGAAATTATTTATTATTTATTATTGTGAAAGATTGTTTATTATTCTTTAGATTATATTAATGATCGCGTATGTACTTACGTATATTTGTATTTACATGTATATATAGCGTACACAGTATCGGAACGCTGTAAACACCTTCTCGGAGTTACTGACTATTGGTGTGGTGCCTATAGTAAACGAGAATGATACGATTTCTGTTAGCGTAAGTATTATATTGTTCATTTGATGCATATTATTATTTATTATTCCTCTCTTGACTATAAATTTTATAACTATTCCGACTAGGAAATTAGATTTGGTGATAATGATACTTTATCGGCGATAGCAGCCAAGATGGTTAATGCAGATTATTTGTTTCTAATGACAGACGTAGATTGTTTGTGTACCGATAATCCACGTGAGAATCCTGATGCTAAGCCGGTAGAGATTGTTAAAGATGTTGGTGCATTAAGAGAGCAAGGTTTCTATTAACACATTGAAGACACACGTGTTTTCTTAATAATATTAATTGTTCATCAAATAATAGTGAGGATATCTTCACCCGGCAGCGCACTAGGCACCGGCGGAATGACCACAAAACTAACAGCAGCCGATCTCGCAACAGCAGCCGGCGTCACAACCGTAATATGTCGCGGCTCAGCTCCACAAAACATCTTATCCATAATTTCACATCTCTCCATAAACCCCACAATCACAACATCAGACGATTCCTCCGTCCCATTACATACGCGTTTTCTCGCAAAGAAAAACCCATTGGCGGATCGTAAATGGTGGATATTACATGGACTACACACGGCCGGCACCTTAGTGATTGACGAGGGGGCTTACAAAGCGCTCACTCGACCAGGCCAGTCGAGTAGTTTGTTCGCTGCTGGGATTGTGAGGGTCGAGGGAAATTTTGTCGCCGATCAAGCGGTTAAAGTTGTTGTGGAGTTGGAGAAACGAAATTTGAATAGTAACAGTGACGAAGGTGGTGGAAATGGTGAAACAAAAGAAATTGGTAAAGGATTAGTGAATTATTCGTCTGTTGAGATAACGAGAATTAAGGGACATCAGAGTTCTGAAATTGCAGAGTTGTTAGGTTACGCTGATTCTGAATGTGTAATTCATAGGGATAATTTCTCAGTATTTAAAACTTATGACAGTGATTAGACCAGTGAAACTGCCAGGTGATGCATATTTATACACCAAATAAAATGATCTCCGTTTTTTCTTTGACACGTTATTTGTCAAACGCGTTGTTGTGTTAACATCATTATTATTATTATTATGGATTTATCTACTAAACCACAATCACCAAAACCCCTGCCAATCCAAAAACTCGAAGAAACTGTTGTTAATAGAATTGCAGCCGGGGAGGTCCTTAAACTGTTTCTCGTACTTTCTAAGTTTCATCCTAGTTAATAATGTACTTGTGCAATAGATTATACATCGACCAGCAAACGCGTTAAAAGAGCTGATAGAAAACTCGTTGGACGCTGGGTCAACTAAAATTCAAATTACCGTCAAAGACGGAGGACTTAAGCTTTTACAGATTCAAGATAATGGGCATGGAATACGAGTGCGTCTACACCGTCTATTATAGTATTTTTTTTTCTTGTCTAGTTAGTTCACAAGAGCTTTTATTATTACTTGTGTTAGAGAGAAGATATGGCTATTGTGTGTGAACGGTTTACCACGAGTAAACTCAAAAGCTTTGAAGATCTGTCAACTATTGGCACTTATGGTTTTCGGGGGGAAGCTTTGGCGAGTATTACTTACGTTGCACATGTTACTATTACTACAAAGACTGTCGACTCTAATTGTGCATATCGGTAAATATTATAATAATAATAGCTATTTTTTAAATATTAAATAAACGGAATTGATTGGATTATTAATGTTACAGAGCTCATTATTCCGACGGTATCCTTGTTCCACCTAAGCCTGGAGTAAGTGCAGAACCAAAACCGTGTGCTGGGAATAATGGAACACAAATTACGGTATTTTGATTTGGAGTATCCTTAGACGCGCGTATATATTTATATTTTCGCGACCAATACGTTAAATGGATATCTTTTTTTTATTTACAGGCCGAGGATCTTTTTTATAATGTGCCAGCGCGTCGAAAAGCCATGAGGAATTTCAGCGAAGAGTATAATCAAATTATGAATGTTGTGAATCGATATGCAATTCATAATGCTGGGGTTAGCTTCACATGTAAAAAGGTATATTTTTTGTTTTTACTATATGTTAATAATAAACATGATAGTAATAGTAATAATAGCATTAGTAAACAATATATATCATTGATATATTTTTTTTAAATAGCAAGGTTCAAATCAAGTTGACATCAGTACACTGTCAACCGGATCAATCATAGACAATATTCGCCAGGTGTATGGAGTGAACACCGCATCTGAGTTAATTGAAGTCAACAAAGAATATCGAGAATTCGAGGTCAAACTAAAAGGATATATCTCTAATGCTAATTATAGTGTCAAGAAAATGGTTCTTTTGTTGTTTATTAATAGTACGTACGAATTGACTATTGTTTCTTATTAGTTCAATTATTATTTTTTGTTTATTGATTATTATTCTATTTTTTATAGATAGAGCGGTTGAAAACTCTGCACTAAAAAAAATGATTGAGAGTGTGTACTCGGTACTGTTGCCGAAACAGACTTACCCGTTTCTTTATTTAAGTCTTGACATTAATCCGAAAAATGTGGATGTTAACGTTCATCCTACTAAGCGTGAGGTGAGGCGGAGGATCTATGGTTGCTATTATTATACTTCATTTTTTTAATACATGAAATTTCAAATGTGTTTGTTATGAAAGGTACTTTTTTTGCATGAAGATGAAATAATCGGGAGAATCTGTGATGTAATCCAAGCGAGGCTTGCCAACACAAATTCTTCAAGATCTTTTCTTACACAGGTTCTTATTAATTAATAATTATTAATGAATCTGTTCAGTATTCTCGATTATTATTAGTATTATTATTCTCTACACTGGTTTATTTTTTATTTAGACGTTATTACCAGGCACAACACCTCCACTGATTGAATACAATGATGCCAAGGAAAACCAAGACAAGTTCTCAAAGTCAGGTTGATTGCTTTTTTTGAGCTATGACCTCTATATTACCATAGATCTTTATTTTTCTAATAATTAATAAATCTTTTGCATTGGTTGAATGATTTGTTTAGCTCAAACATATGATTATAAACTTGTGAGAACTGATTCTCGCGCACGAACTTTAGATAATTTTTATGAGCCGGAAAAATTGTTGGAACCGTTGAATAAGAAAGCGAAAAAAGAAGCTACATCCCCAGATAAAGAAGACATCGAGGAGAAATCAATAAAAAGGTATCTCTCTTTATTAAAACAATAAAACAACGAACTATGTAAAGAGATACTGCTCAAAGATTATTACGATCAAAACAGCAGCTCGCAAAAAAACCGACTCTCGAGTAACCCAAAATCAAAGAGAAAACGAATTGAAGTGCGATTATCCAGTATACTAAGTTTACGCAAACGACTCAAGGAAGAAGGGCATCGAGGTATTAATTATTCATTTCAAGAAAGTTCTAATATCTCGAATTTCTTTTATGAATTTATTAATCTCTTTGATTGCAAAAAGGGCTCACCGATCTGCTTGCAAATCACACGCTTGTTGGATGCGTTGATGACATGCAAACTTTGGCTCTCGTCCAACATCAATTAAAATTATATTTATTGGATTATAATAAGCTCAGGTTTCTTATTCTCATTATCATCATCATTTATCTTTGATCGCACTACTAGAATTTAGTTTCAATGTAGTGAAGAACTCTTCTATCAACTGACATTACAAGGATTTTGTAATTTCGGGTTCATTCATTTATCGACCCCAGCTCCAGTTTACGATCTCGTTATCTTTGCATTAGAAAATATTGAAAATGAAGAATTTTTTAATAATCTGAAACCAAAAGATGAAATTGCACAGGTAAATTGTTAACAAAAAATTTCCCGATTGACGCATTATACTTCTACCAATCTTATGCGATTTTTCACTGAATAATCTTAATGAATAACAGATAATCACTAAACAATTATTCGAACATCGAGAAATGTTGCTCGAGTATTTCGCGATCACTATATCAGAGAAGGGTGAATTGACTACTTTACCATTGATGCTTAAAGGATATGCGCCAAATATGGATAAGCTTCCAAGTTTTTTGTTACGTTTGGGCACTGAGGTAAACTAATTGTTGTTATTTCAATATGATCGATTTATTTGCGTATTGGAATATGCCAAGTCTATTATTTTATGTTATATTAAGGTTGACTGGACTATAGAACTCAAATGCTTTGATACACTTGCTCGCGAAATTGGATATTTATACGCAGCCGAACCACCAGAATTTTGTGAAGATGATGATGATGATGATGAAGCAAAAGCGAACGAGATAAATGAAGAACAAATGGAAATAGATGATGACGATGAACCTGTTAAAGGTGATAATAGTAAAGACAATAATAATGATGATGAAAATGAAAATGATAATGATAATGATACAAAAGGGATGATGGATATGGAACAAGAAAAAGAAGACAACTACTCTATAGACATCGAGAATAACGACAAAGAATCAAAAAAGTTAGATTCAAAACAGCAGGATCAAAGTTACACTAATTTAAAGCTTAAACAGAAAGAAACAGCATCAGCAGCACTGGTGAAATATCGATGGCAAATAGAACATTTAATATTTCCGGCATTGAAAAACAATTTCATTGCACCGAAAAGCTTTGCTACTGGTCGCCAAATAATTCAAGTTGCTAATCTGCCGGCTTTGTATCGTATATTTGAACGTTGTTAATTAAGAAATGGGAGGTTGAGTGGATTGATAATTAATAAATAAATGTATTGTTTTTCCAATTAAATCCCTAGTTTATATATTTTTTGTGAATCACTTTTAATGTCTAGGTTATCGAGATCCTCCCACCACTTGAACAAAAAGTTCTCAGAAATGAGTTTGAACCAGGGTGTGAATTTCCAATCTACCAAAGATATATAAAATTTATTAGAGTAATAATTCATATTGAAATGATTTAAAAATAAAAAATTTTACCTCCCGGATTTTCAAATCGACGCCGAAGCTCATCAATAGAGAGCCATTCGACGGCTTTAACTTCATTCACGTTGATGTTCAAGTCGACGTTAGCACGGATAATTAAAATGTAATCGACTAGGAATAAAAGAATTTTGGTATGGCAAATAAAATTGATGACGTCTAATATGGCAACATATAATAAATAACAAATACCTTCATGTTCTCCCCAAACACCATCAGAAGGCGCCAAATAATGAATCTTTGTTAGAAATTTAAACTCGTCAAGTGGCACTTGTGATGACTTTATCCCTAATTCGTGCTCTAATTTACGCTGAGCAGCTCTACGCACACCTAATAGCATAATTACCCAGAAAAACTGTTAAAGCCATTGCAAATTATAGTAACACCAAATAAAATACCTATTTGTTTCTCTTCTTCAAGCTCAAGTGTAGTATTCAAAGGGTGAGAACAACAAGTATTTGTCCATAAGTCGGGAAATGTTATTTTATCAGTAGAGCGTTGTTGTAACAAGAGTTCATTTTCAGAGTTAAACAGGAACACAGAGAATGCTCGGTGTAGTAAACCCTTATTAATATTCTCCATTAGGTGACCTTTTTTTAGATGTTGAACATTGTGTGTATATTTATATATAAGAAAAAAGAAATTATAAGGAAACTTTGATTTGGTTTATTGGCTCAATAAGTTATCTGACCACCTACACGTCTTTTTTGTGTCTGCTCCAATTTTCGTGTCATTCTCATTAACGAGAATACACATTTCTTCCATTAACCGCGCTTGCTCTTCATTATATTTTTTGAGGTTTACTACGCCGATAGGAGGTACCATTGTAGAGAAAATACAACAAAGGTGAAAAAGACATTCAACGGGTTAATTTCCATTTTTAAAGATCTACGCGTAACAATCTGATCGAGCATGATCATTTAGAAATTTTTATGGCTACAGTCAACCCTCGATTACGTAATGAGCTCTCGATATAGTGAAGGACTAATTAAATTCTCGATATAGTGAAGTTAGTTTTTGATAGATCTGCAAATTGTATGTATCTAAAACGTAACAAAATGAATTTCAACGAAAGTAACGTGACTAGGTTATAGGTCAAGGTCACTGAGGTTTTTTTTATTAAATTGTCTTCATTATACATCATACTTCCGATCAGTTTTAAAGAATAGTTTATTCGAATCAGAGGTCTGTAAAATCTGTATTTCACCGAATGATATCAAATTATGACCAACAAAAAACCTAAAATTTCTCTTTAACTTACTAATAACGTAGAAAGACATTCATGTGATTGGCTAATTTATGTCGATCCAAGCATGATTATTGACCATTAACTTATTATTTAGATTTAAAAATTATAAAGTAAATGATACATTAGCGGTAATAAGTATCCGAACGCCCCTAATTTTTTATAAATGCTGATCATCTACTCCTTTTTAGAGTTGGTAGAACTTCTACATCGGGTGTTTTATGTTCATTAAAATTTTACATCACAAATTCCAAAACACATATCTCAA